GGCAGAAGATGATATCCCACGCCCGCCTCACTCGCCAGCAGGGCTTTGTGGACGACGAGGGCACTTTGTTGGTGCGCGGCAAGGCGGAGCCTCCCTTCCCCGCGCTGTGGTCTCGGGGACCCCTCTACAAGCCCCACAGGGGTTGGGAGTACATTCCCGAGCGGGCTGCCAGGGCCCTCGAGGAGGTTTCTTCGTCCTGCACTGTTGCTGCTGCTGCTGCCGCAGCAGCAGCAGCGGCCGACGGCAGTGACACCCACAGACACGCCGCTCTGCACGACGCCCATCCCCCCCAGCAGCAGGGCAGCAACGCAGCTGCTGCTGCTGCTCCGGCCAACGCACAAACCGCGCCCACACCCGCAGCAGCAACAGCACCGGGCACCCATTTCAAGGCCCCCACTGCAAGCCTCCTCTCCTACGTCGAGCCCATCGTTCCCGCCCTGCAACCTGCGCTGGGCGCAGACTGCGTTGCTCTCTTTGTCCACGTAACCACTAACCCTCAACTCTAATCCCTATTTGCTAAACCCTAAACCCTAAGCACCCGAAACGCCACGGCACCCCTAGTATGGTGTCTAGAGAAGAGAGAGCAGCTTCATCCAAAGTATTTGTTCAGTGCGAGGGCGGCGCCTTTCCTCCAGACCTTAGGTGCTCGTTTTCAGGGTTTAGGGTTTAGGGTTTAGGGTTTAAGGTTTAGGGTTAAAGGGTGTGTTTGTTTGCGTGCTTCCCCGCAGTGTTTGTTTCACCTGAGTGAGTTCCGGCGTCAAATCTTCAGCTGGGGCTCGGAGAAGATTTGCTACCCCTCGGTGGAGGCGCTGGCTGCAGACCCTTCGCTTGCTGCTGCTATTCCCCCCTTTACAGACGGGACCCTCATAGGCGCGCTGCAGCACACTTTTGCCTACATGCAGCTGTGGCCGCTAGCGGTGGCTTGCCGCAGGTTCCAGCAGCTGACGGCGGGGGGCTGTTCGGCGGCTGCCGCTGCCGCTGCAGCAGCAGCAGCAGCAGCAGCAGGTGTATCCTCCGAGGTCTGCCCGTCCGAAGTGTGGCGCTGGTACGGCGCTGAGCTCTTCCCCAAGAGCGCAGCAGCGACAAGAAGAGAGGGGCCAGTAGCGCTCAGCCGAAAAAATAGGTTTTGCTACTTCTGTCAGCGGTGCTTCTGCTGCTGCAGATGCACTCATGCTGCTGCAGCGGCGGCGGCCGCCGGGGGGCCGCCTTTGCTGCTGCGGTCAGCTGCAGTAAACTCCCCGGCGTCACAGGGCGCACCAGGGGTAGGAGCAGCAGTGCCCAGCTGCAGCACCTGCAACGGCTGCAGCACCTGCACTAGCTGCACAGGCTGCAGCGGCTGCAGTGGCTGCAGTAGCTGCAGCAACTGTAGCAGCTGCAGCAGCACCGCAGCAGCAGATCTTAGGAGGCCCCTCTGCGTTCACCAAGGCGAGGGATTTGGTGCTGCTAGCGCTGACTGCTTCGACGGGGGCGGCGGGCGTATGGATAGAAACGCGTGTCTTTGCTGCGACCTCATAGACAGGTAGGATATTTTATGTCAAGTTGTTTTTGCACTATTTATTATTTAAACCTTTTTGACAAGAGATCTAATTGAGTAGTAGGTTATTTACTGAACAACGAAGGACACACCAGCGCAGCCTTGCTGCTGCTTGCCGTCGCCCCCAGCCTTCCCAGAGTGTGGGAGATTCCTGTGAATTTTTGCTCAATAACGCATGCGCCGCTGCATTTGTTTCTGTTTCATGCATGTGCTTAAGTACCTCTCTTTTACTTATTCAAGAAGCAAGCGTAAATGCGTGTACATTTAACTGTGTTTCATAAACAGAGTTGCCAGATGAATATAAATGTAAACAAGCCCTTGAATGGGCCTGCATGCAGTGGCAAGCAAACGCAAATGAGAGCCATTATTTCTTAAATGACGCCAACTCGGCGTTGCGTGAAATTTGTATTTCCTTTTGAACTTGCACTCCTTGAGTCTCAGCGGTTTGTGGCTTTGCTATTGCATAAGGGCTTTTCATGAATTACGTTTGAGTGAGCTAGTGACCTCGTGGGACGCTGTGCTGCTTGCTGCTGTCCAGACACCCCGAGGTGATGGCCACTCTGCCGCCGCCGCCGACGACGCGCTGCATTTTGCGGGCTTTGCACCTCCACGATCTGCAGAAGCTGGAAAGTCCTGACCCTCTTGTGCGCGTTCACACGGAGCTATTTTCCCTTTTGATGCGGGAAATAGCCAAGACCAGCCTGGAGGAGCGAGGGGCTCAGCAGCAACAGCTGCTGCAGCAGCAGCTCCAGCAGCAGCTGCTCCTGCAGCAGGACACGGAGTCCGAGTCTCAAGCTGCGGCTACCCGCACGAACCCAAGCAGCAGCAGCAGCAACAGCATTTGGGACAACGAGAGCGGCCACTACAGCTCCTGCGATCACTTGGAAGCGACTTGCCACGAGCTCTTCTGCTCCTCAGACAGATCCGTCGGGCTCATGGCACCGTAAGACTGCTGCTGCCTTTTCTGCTGGTCTTGCTGCTGATTTTGCTGCTGCTCCTTGGTGCTGTCACTTTGCTGCTGGTGCAACTGCATGTACATGCTTTGCTGCTGCTTTGCTGGTGCTTTGCTGCTGCGGCTGCTGCTGCACAATTTCCTTGCTGCGGTTTCCTGTGGTGTGAGAGTTGTTTTCTTTGTTGGTGCTGCTGGCGTTGGCAGGGCGTCGGTGAGGGCGCAGCAACAGCAACAAGGCGTGGTGGGCCCTGCGTTTGCGCTTAGGGACGGAACCCCGGATATCTCCGCGGGCTTCACGCGCTGCAAGCACGTGCATTCTTTGCCAAAGGCCCTTGAGAGTTGTGGTCGCCCGCTGCACCACTACCCCGAGGTCTTGTTTGTATATCTGCAGGCCCCCAAACAGTCAAAAAAGGGGGAGCTGTTTGACGCGCCGCTGCGCCTCGATGCGCAGGGGCTGCTGCAGTTGCGGGCGGCGAACGCCCCGCAGCCGCCGGCGGCAGCGGGTGGGGGTACAGCGGCGCCTGCTGCAGTAGCAGCAGCTGCGGCTGCGGCAACGGGCGTGGGGCAGAACGGTGGAGGGATACAGGCAGCAGGAGGTGGCGGTGCTGCTGCGGCTGCTGTTGCTGCGCCGCTCTCCCGGTTGAGGCAGAAGAAGCGGCTGCGGCAGAGGCTGCAGCTGTCCCGGCGGCTGTACAGGGGTGCCCCTGAAGCTGATCGCGACAGCGATTTTTCAGAGACAGATGTGTCCGACGAGGACAAGACGGGAGCAGGGGCGGCAGCAGCAGCAGACGGACCGGGCTGCACGCCGCCCGCAGCAGCAGCAGCAGCAACGGGGGCGACAAGCGGAGCAGCAGCCGGGAACACGCCCACGGGTTTGGCCGCTGCGACGCCAGCGCCCGTGGCTGCTGCTGCGGCTGGTGGCGGCGGCGGCGTGGGGCCCTCGGCGGCAACGAGCAGCAGCAGCAGCAGCAGCAAGGGGGCTGTGGCCCCTCTTTCGGCGTCGTCGGAAAAGTGGTATTCTTTGTTCGCGTTGTTCATCAAGGAGGGAGACAGCAAGGGGGACGTGGGGGGCTCCGTGGCCAGCCACTCGCTGCTGCTGCGGCCCGAAGAAGACGGGCCTTGGTTCCGCATAGCTGAGGGCCGCGTGGAGCGGCTCTCCGCCCGCGTGGAGTTCACTGAGTGGAAGTGCCACAGGGACTTCTTCTGTGGAGGCGCCATTTACATAGCGGAGGACTACATTGACTCGCTGCAGGCAGGCGACGTGCAGGTTGCTGGCGACGTCAAGGAACTCAACCCCTGGCTTTACTACAGAGTTCTTTACGAGTTAGGCGTCACTGAGGCCGAGATCAGGCGCCCCTGGATCCTGCAGAAGCCGCAGCAGCAGCAGCAGCAACAGGCTCCAACCGCCACGACCCAGGACCCCAGGCCAGCTACCGCGGGCGCCCCTGCAGCAGCAGCGCCCGCAGCGCCATCGACAACTGCCGCTGAAAGCCAGCATGGAGAAGCTGCAGAGGCAGCAGCAGCTGCAGACGTGGAACGGTCCAAGCCCCACACGCAAACGGGAGAGGTACCTGAAACAGCAGCAGCGGGTAGCCCCGCTGCACGAGCAGCAGCTGCAGCAGCAGCAGCAGCAGCAGCAGGTTCAACGGAAGAAGAGGCAGAGGAAGCGATCAAAGAAACCTGCGAAGCACTCACGTCAGCCCCTGCAGCTCTGGAGCTCCCAGCTGGCGCCGTGGCGTCAGATGCTCCTGCGGCAGCAGCAGCAGCAGCAACAGCTGCAACGACAGCAGCAGCGGCAGCACCAGCTGCAGCAGCAAGTGACGACCTGTCAGCCCTCACTACAGAGGCGCGGCTTAGTGTCATTCGACCTCTTGCCATGTGGCTGATGGAGGTTGTGCAGGACAAGGCCAGACTAGCAGCAGCCATAGCCTTAGCAGCAGAACACCAGGAGCAGCATCCGCAGCAGCAGCAGCAGGAGCAACAACTGGAGCAGGGGCAGGAGCAGCAGTACCAGAAGGAACTGGGCGATGGCGAAGGCGCTGAACCACAGCCCGACGCACAGCAGCAGCAGCAGCAGCAGCACGATCTGGATAAAGAGAGCAAGGCAGCAGCAATAAGGGATATGTGCCGTATTGAAGAAGAGGAGTTGCTGGTGCTGCAGGAGCTTCGTTACGCCATGGCGGGGCTGCTGCTGGACGAGTTCATAGATCGGTACTGCCCGCAGCCATCGGCTACTGCAGCAGCAGCGGCTGCGGCGACATCAGCAGCAGCCACCGACGCCGCAGTAGCGTCAGTGCTCAGCTCCGCGCCCGCAGCAGCAGCAGCAGCAGCTGCAGCCGCAGCAGCAGGCACAGCCACCACCACAGGGAAGGGGGCCTCCGTGTCGTGGGCCGCGTCGTCCCCTCAGTGCTTCAGCCTGCTTAACCCTGAAGGCAAACTGCTGGTGACAGATGCTGCTGCAGTTTTGGAGGCCCCGATCTGTCGTTTGGTGGAGACAATTTGCTCTTTGCTTAAGGAGGCGGCTCTCTACCTGCAGGCCATGCACCTGAAGGCAGCACGGATACGCAGGCAGCAGCAGCAGCAGCTGCTGCTGCAGACGGCTGCAGCAACTGCCGCGACGGCGGTGGCAGGGGCAGGAAGGGCGTCTGAGGCTCAGCGTCCAGCAGCTTTGCTCCCCGAGAAGGGCGAAAGTGCCGCTGCTGCTGCTGCTGCAGACTTGGCAGCAGCAGCAGGCGGGGGCGACAGCATGATAGAGCTGCTAGAGCTGGAGCAAATGGGACCCTCGTCACCGGCGCACCAGGCGGTGCTGTCGCGGCTCTATGATTTATGGCATTGCTGCTGCTGCTGCGGGGCAGACGCAGTAGCAGCTTTTGCGAGCCCTCAGGCGCCGCCGCCTGCGCCTAGCACGTTGCCCTTCTCTTTGGCGTTCAGCGCCGCTGCGGCGGCCGCAGCAGCAGCAGCAGAAGCTGCAGCAGCGTCCGCAGGGTCTGTCAGCTGCGTGCCTTCCCCCGCGCCGTCGTCACCCAGCTCCGCTGCTGCCGCCGCTGCAGCAGCAGCAGCAGCAGCAGCAGTGTCTAGTGGCAAGCTGCGGGCCACACAACTAATGCTGGCAATGGCCTACTCGCGGGAGGCCCCGCAACCCGTCTCTGTCTCTTTGTCTTCTCCGCTGTCGGGGCTCGACAGCACTCTTGACTGCATGGCCAAGCTGCGCATGCACTTGGGGCCCCTCCCTTCTTTAGGCGCAATGCGTGCGGCGCTACACCGCCGCAGAGTCCCCACGGCTCATTTGCGGAGGCCCCAGGAGGTTGTCTTCTTTTATTACCATATTTTCGCCGGCAGCAGCAGCAGCAGCAAACAGGTTTTCAAGGATATGCAGCAGCAGCACCCCCACATGCACCCGGGACTTATCCAACCCCTCAGAGAGGCCAAAACCCCCGCAAGCAGCAGCAGAAGCAGCAGCAGCAAGCGCTGCATCTGCGGTGGCCTTAGCTCAGACCTGCGGCTTACGCTGCCTGCGGCCGTCAGCGAAGCACTGACTACGGCGCTGGCCGTGGGGCTTACTTGCAAGCAGACGGGGAGGCAGGCGGAAGAGGCGGAGGCCATAAGAGAGGCTCTTGCTGCTGACGCTTTGCGCATCACTGCGGCGCTGCAGCACGACGCCCGCAGACTGTGTGCTGCAGCAGCGGCAGCAGCAGCTGGAGAAACGCCCTGCTGCTGCGGCGGCCAGGCCGAGCCAACTGACGCAGAGACGGCAACTGCAGCGGCAGACGGTGCAGAAGACATCAGCAGCGGGGACGCCGTTGCTGTCTTTGACCCAGCAACCTCGTCAGCGGCGTCCGGTGCAGCGGCAGCAGCAGCAGGAACAACAGTAACAACGGGAGGCGGCGGAACAGCAGCAGCACGCAGGCGCAAAGCAGCACGGGGCGCAAGCCCGTCCAGCAGCTTGTCTGTTTCTTTGTCTCCCCTCCTGGACGCGCTGCTGCCTCGTGTGATGTTCACGCAGGCCGCAGCAGCAACGGCAGACCCCCGCGTCTTCTTGCTGTCTGTGCACTCTGCTGCAGTGCCTCACAAAGCAGCAGCAGCAAAGGAATATGGAGCGCGGTTGCGGCCGTCGGACGCTGCTGAGGGCCTGTGCAAGCGCGCTGTTGCTGTTGCTGCTGCTATCACGAACCCATTTGCTGCTCCTGACATTAGCCGCGGTGGCCTGCGCTTTGGCTGCCATGGGGTGGACGGGTTCAGCAGCAGCAGCAGCAGCAGTAGCACTAGCAGTACCGGGGGCTCGTCTCTGGGCGCGTTCGGGTCTGCAGGCGGCGTGCTGCCATTTGCTGCTGCAGCGAGCTGCCGCGGCGCCGCAGTGGCAGCAGCAGCAGCAGCAGCAAGTCTGGAGGCGGAGCTGATGGAAATAGGAGTCATTGTTGCAGCAGACCTGGCCGGCCTTGAGGGCTTCTCCACAGAAGACATTTTGCTGCCGAAGCAGCGGCTGATCGTAAGAAAAAGAGATGGGGCGGGAGCCCCTCTGACGGTGCGGCGGCTGCACTGCGCGTTGCGGCGAGTGATCCTTTCCCAGCTGGCTGCGGGCGCAGCAAGCGACAGCAGCAGCAGCAGCAGCAGCAGCAGCCGGGGCCTCGAGGACATGTGGGGCTTTGTGTCCCCGCTGCAGGGCGACAGCAGCAGCGGCCTCATAGACGTTGACTCCTCGCTATGTTACAAAGCCTCGCCTCTAGACGCTTTCATTTTGTATGCCCTGCGGCCCGATCACGACCCCACAAGGAGAGGTTAGTTGCTGCTGCTTCCATTTGAGTCGGGCTATGCTGCTGCAATCAAAGTCGAGTTTTGCTTCTGCGGCGGCCACTCTGTAGCCTCTCTGTCTTGTGCCTGCTCCCGTCTCCGTGTGGGCATATGCTGTGTCATTGCCACTTTGCCCGCGGTCCCTGCTGCTAAAATTTATGCCGTGGTTTCTAAACCTTGCTCCGTGGCTGCAAATCCTAAACCCTCGATAGGCGGTTTCTTAGTTGTCGCCGTTCCTGACGAGACCCCACTCGCCAGTGCTGGGCTGCTGAAGATTCGCCAGAAAGTGCTGCTGCTCATGTGCTACTGGTCTTCCAGCTTATATGTCTGTGCAATTCTGTCAGCGTGTCTTCTTTTGTGCTGCTGAGTCTTGTTCATTTGCGCCGTTGCTGCTGCGCCTTGCGTGTTCTTTGTTCCCCGCAGGTCGCCGCCGCTTCGTTTTTATGGAGGCAAATGACTTAGTGGAGAACTATGTGGACGCGAAGCGGCTGCTGTTGGACGCTGCAGCGCCGGACGTGACGGTGCTGCTGATGGGGGCGCCGGCCCGCTGTTACAGCAGCAGCAGCAGCAGCAGCAGCGGGGAGCTGTTCCCGCTGGAGGACGTCTCGGAGCAGCCACTGCTGCTCTACAAATGGTTCTGCCCAGACACGGTGACACTGGTTTGCCTAGGCGCGCTGGTCTGCGACGCAAAACAGCAGCTGCAGCAGTACGTGCTGCGCTGGGTGCTGCCGCGGGTGGGGGCCAGCGGGTTAATAGCCGATCAGCAGCAGCAGCAGTTCGCAGCGGACCCCGAAGCGCTGCTGGTCATGGAGGAGTGCAGTGTACGTACAGTGCAGAACATCCGTCGCTGGGCCTGCGCCATCAGGAAAATCAACAAAAAGACAGGAGACATCATTATAGTGCAGCCACGGGTTTATGTAGAGTCCCCGGCCTCTCTGCGTCACAGAGAGGCAGCAGCACTTCTTGAAAAAGTCTACTCAATGGAGGGCGTGAACGAGCGGGAACTGGACGGGCTCGCGGCGGCGCTGCCGCCGCTTGCTGCATCTGCTGCTGCTGCAGCAGGAGCAGCAGCGGCAGACGCAACAGCAGGGAAGACAGGTGACAGTCTGCTGCTTGGCCTTGGCGCGGACGGCTGGGCAGCGTCAGTTGGCGCAGGGCTGCTTGCGGGTGCAGGGAGTCGTGCTGCTGCTGCTGCTGAGGCAGCAGAGGAGGACGGAGCAGCAGCAAAAAAGAAAAAGAAAAAAGCAAAGAAACAAACTCTGAGGCAGTCAATCCCCACTAACAGAAAGAGCACCATAGCCAAGCTTGCCGAGGACAGCAGACGGGCGGAGAAAGAGGATGGGGACAAGCATGAGGAGGTGCCCATCGTTAGTTTGGCGGCTGCAGCGGCGGCCGCAGCGGCGGCAGCAGCAGCAGCAGCAGGTGTTGCTGCCGCGGCTGCTGCAGAGGCGCAGCAACAGACTGCGGACGTTGAAACCGAGGCCGCGCTGCCAGCAGCGACAGCAGCGCAAACGGCAGCAGCAGGTGGTCCGGCAGCAAAGGGGAAGGCAGCGGCAGCGGCAGCAGCAAAAGCGGCGGCAATGCCTAAAGCAGCAGCGGCACCTAAGGCAACAGCAGCCAGTGCAACAATAGCGGACCCCCACTCCAGCCGCGGCAAGAAGCAGCAGCAACAGCAACAGCAACAGCAAGCCACGGCAGAAGGACGTAACAGAGCGAAAGAGACGCCAAAAGGCGCTGCTGCTGTGGGAGCAATGAAGCCTTATGAGAAAAAGCAAGCGGCAGCAGCAGCTGCTGCTGCGGGAATCCCGCAGCAGCAGCTGCGAGTCCCAACAGCAAAAGCAGACGATGACGCAGGTACCGATGGTAGAAAAGCCAGAGACAGGGCACTGCAGCAGCAGCAGCAGCAGCAGAAGCGTGGTGCAGCCGCTGCAGCGACGCCTGAGGCTATCTGTCTCCCAGCAGCAGATAAGCCATCTGCTGCCGCAGCTGCTGCCTCCCCGCAGGCGGAGCCAGCCGCCGCAGCAGAAGCGAAGAGAGGCACGGCAACAGTAACAGCACAGAAAACTCGTGCCGCAGATGCACAGAGACGTGGCGTATCTTCGGTAGCTGGCTCTCCGACGGCAGCTGCGGCAGCTGCAGAAGCAGCAGCAGCAACAGCCGCTGCGTCACCAGCAGCAGCAGCGTCTCCGGGTAGTTCACGGTCTCCATTGGGCCTGAGAACAGGTCGCGGCGTCGCACAGAAGCAGCAACACCCAGATTCACCAGCAGCAGCGACAGCCGCAGCAGCAGGTGGAGACTGGTCTCCCTCACTGCCACTATCGCCTGGTTCTTCCGCCGCCGCAGCAGCAACAGCAGCGGAGCTGCCCTATGCATATTTGCTGCAGCCGCGGAGCCTAAACACGCTGCGACAGTTGTCAGTGGCAAGGGACATAGAAGAGGAGACCCTGCGGTCTCTTGCAGCTGAGGTGATCGACTCTGTCTTGACTCACATCAGCGGGGAAGCAGCTGCAGAAGCAGCAACAGCAGCAACAGCTGCAGCGCCATGGCTGGAGGCTTGTCGAGGTTCTCCTGCGGCAGCAGCGGCAGCAGCAGCTAAGCGCGGCTCCTCCGCAGCTTCCCCCGCAGCAGCGCCCGCAGCAGCAGCAGCAGCAGCAGCAGCAGCAGCAGCAAGCAGCAGTGTGCGCACTTCTCACGACAGCCCGCTAGCCCGAGACGTGCTGCTGCAGGCAGCAGAGCTGCTGGACCGCATGAGCGCCACCAGCCTCTGCAGCCAGCAGCGGCCCCTGTTTGCAAAGCAGCTGCAGGTGCACCTTGAGGAGGCGCTGCTACAGGCTTTCGACTGTAGCAGCGCTGCAGCCCAAGGCGCAGCAGTAGCTCCAGCAGCAACTCCGACGACCGGGGCGCGCAGCAGTTATAGCGGCATTGCGGCCCCCGGGAGCAGCAAACACGCGGCCAGCAGCAGCCCCAGCAGCAGCAGCAGCAGCAACAGCCTCGAGGGTCTGAGTGCTGCTGATCTGCGCTTCCTTGCCTTCCAGAGGCTGCTGACCCCCCGCAGCTTGGCTGCGTGTGAGCTGTTCGCAGTGCTCGCTATCGGGCGGAGCGGCCTCATTGTCTCGCGCAAGTTGCTGGCAACCCACTGCCACAATTTTTTAGACCGAACAGGAATAGCAGCAGTCAGCAGCAGCAGCAGCGGGGCTAGCAGCAGCGCTGCGTCCGGCAGCAGCAGCAGCTCTGCGCCGAGCAGCAGCTCCAGCTCCACCGCCACTGCATCTCCATCCAGCAGCAGCAGCAGCAACAACAGCAGCTTGAAGGTTGCCCTAGTGGCAAGCATGTGGTTCGCGCTGGGCCCCCGCCACTTGTGCCGGCTGGGGGAGTCGCAGCAGGGGCGCCGCTTTGTGGACTCGGTTTCTCGGCGGTTGAGCGACTACAGCTTGCTGTTGCTTCCTAGCAACCCGAACCAGAGCAGCAGCTACCCCTGCGTGTTGCCCCTGCTTCAGCAGGGCAGCAGCTTCTTCTCCCCCCGCGTAGCAGCAGCAGGAGGGGTGGAGGCTCTCGTGGCCTGGGCGGTGGCGGTGCTGCTGAGATGGCTGCAGTCTGTTAAGGGCACGCAGCTACCCATAGTTAGGGCCCCTGCGTTGTCTGCTGCTGTAGCTGCTCTCGCGATGCCTTCAGCTTTCCTGAACGCCCACGCCCTCAGCGCACAGGCTGCTCAGCCAGCAGCAGCAGAAGCTGCTGCAGCAGCAGCCGCTGCAGCAGGGTCCCCGGCTCTGTCCAGCATGCCTGAGGAGGCAGCAGCCGACGCCGATGCTGCAGTAGCAGGATCAGCAGCAGCAGCGCCGGCGTGGTCTCACGTAGCTGAGGGTCGACCTACTGCGTCTCACCGCGGGGCAGCATGGGGCTCTTCGTCCCCACCTCCAGCAGCTTCTAGCACTGCAGCAGACGGGTCTCCCTGCCGTTCCACTGCAGCAGCAGCAGCAACAGGCGGGCGCCGCGGTGCGTGCAGCAGCAGCGACAGCTGCTCCCTAGCAGACTGGGCAGGGGAACGGGGGGACTCCGAAGAAGAAGACGAAGAGCTCTATGCGGACTCGTCGCCACCGCCATTTCACCGGCTGAGTGCTGAGCCTACACTGCCGAGCGGCGGCGGCGGAGGCGGGAGCGGTTTACTGCGGAGCCTCAGCAGCAGCAGCAGCAGCAGCCGCCGGGTCTACAAGAAGAGTGCGCCCTACATCCTTGCTGAGGGGGCCAGCTGGATGGTCCTCTATAAGCCCGCCTTCTGGCACTGCTCTGGCCTCGGCAAAACTCGCAACATAAATCTGCCTAAGGTCGCGGCGCCCCAGGAGATCGAAGACGCCCTTTCCCACATCACCACTGAAGACCTCGTCAGCAGCGGCAGGGTTGAGAGCTTCCACCTCTACCTCATGAAAAAAGTAATGAATACCACCGTCTTGCTGCTGCTGCAGTTGCTGCTGCTGCTGCTGCTGCATAGTGTAGTTGTGACGGTGCAGTTTGTAGTTGGAGACTGTGTGGGTGCTGGAGTGCCTTCGCGTGCTGCTGCTGCTTCTTCTCTGGCTGCTGCCCTCACGACTATTGCTGCTAACAGTCCTGCTTCCGTCGCCCTGTGGTTACATCTTCTACTGCCGCTGCTGCTGTTGCTGCTCGCAGTACCCTCGTTTGGAAACAGTGCGCCGCTGGGAGGAGATGGAGTGCGGCCTTTGCCACCGCACCGACCTGGAGACGTCGGGCTCGCTGCTTATTGCCAAGACTCGAAGGTGTGTTGCTGCTGCTGCTGGAGCTGCTACTGCTGCTAGCGTTGTTGCCGTTGCAACGGGGGCTACCGGTGCTGCTGCTCTTTGTGGTGCCCGCTGTGGCGCTGGCTAGAAGCCTCACTGCATATGAAAATCAAATAGAGGACCCCATGGGGGGCCATGTGAAATCTTCTGGCGGTCCTTCGTTACATTTACTCTCCGCTATGTATTATTTGTCATCTAGTATTGTTTCCCTTTGTGAGGTTTTCAAAGCATTTCCGTACGACCCTTGTATTCGTGCTTATATGCCACAGTGTGTGTGTCATTCAGGTTTCCGTCTGTTTGTGTTTCACGTTTTTCTTTTATCTTTTGTTGTTGATATTTGCATTATTGCGCTTCAATTTCTTATTTATTTCTGTTTTCGGGGGGCGCGCTGCGTTGCTTCTTCTCAGGGCTCGCGATTTCATATTTGAACAATTCAGGCGCCGCCTAGTGCACAAAGAGTATCTGCTGCTGTGCCACGGCAGGCTGAGCAGAGCCTACGGCAAAATAGACCATCCCATTGCCACAAGGTGGGTTGGGGGCGACAACTTTGTCTGTGTCAGTCGTTTTTAGTGTTCTCTTTGGGGCTTGTTTTTACCTTTTGCTAGCTGTTTTTCCATATTTCGTGCCTTTCTTTGGGGATTCTTTTTTCCCTATAGTGGCTGTTTCTCGTGTCTTTCTTTGGGGCTTCTTTTCTGCCTTTTGCTTCGCTTCTTTCGCTGCTGCGTTTTCCGCTTTCGTTGTGATGCTGCGCGCGCGGCGGCGGCGTCCTTTATTGCGCGTGAGCGTTTAGTTGTTTGCACAAGCAGTCAAATGCAGATAAGTACACACAATTTTGAAAGTTAAAGAAAAACGAGCTTCACAGCTTGTTGGCTTACAGGGACTTCGACAGCTGCCGCTCCAAGAGCCACTACTCTGAGGTCGTTGGACCGGACGAAGGCGGGGAGGAGGCGCTGACGGAGTACAGACTGCTGAAGATCTTCAAGCTAAAGAAGCCCGTGGACCCTAAAGTTGCGGCTGCCATTGCTGCTGCAGCAAGACTGCACGCGGCAACGACCGGCAGCAGCAGCTGTTCAAGCAGCAGCAAGAATGCGGGAGCGACGGCGCAGCAAAGGGGCAGCAGCGGCAAAAGCGGGAATAGCAGCAGCAGCAAGGACTTCAGTTACACCCAAGAGTTCAGCTTTTGTAGAGTCAAGATACACACGGGGAGGACTCACCAGATCCGGTAAGCAGCACGTGCCCGTCGCTCACCTCTATTTTTGGCTTCCTTGTCTCTAGTTTTCTCCTTTTTCTTTTTGTATCTCTTGTTGGCATTGTTGGCTGTCGGGCTGCAAATGCCCGTTTGTCTCTTGGGCGGCGGCTTTGTACATCTGCTTAACCCGGAGTTTAGGGTTTAGGGGTAAGGGTTTGAGCACCTTATCAGTTTCAGAACGAAGAGTCTTGATTGAAAACGTGAAGGGACCCTCCCGCATTTCCAGCCTTCTGGCCATTTTACTCTCTCCTGATCAGTGGCTGCTGCTGCTTTTGGCTGACCTCAAGTTGCTGCGTCAGTGCGAGTCGCTACTCTGTAAGGCTGCGTGGTTGCAGAGGTTTTCTGCTGCGGTTTGCTGTGCTGCTGCAGGGTGCACTTCCAGCACCTGGGCCACCCGCTGGTGGGAGACGGCAAGTACTGCGACCAGGGCAAAACAATAATTGACCGCGTCTGGTGCGGTCGTTTGTTCCTGCACTCCAACTTGCTGGTGTTCACCTCTCCAGACGCAGCAGACCCGAAGCCCGTCACGGCCACCTCGCCGCTTGCCCCGGAGCTGCAGGCCGTACGTGCTGAACCCTCAAACCTTAATGAAGGGTTTACAGCCCGGAAGCGGCTAGACCCGCCTCCGGGCCGCAAATCCTTAGGTACACTTCTGGGGGCTTTCTGCAGCCGCCTTGCTGCGCCACAGCGTTTAGCATTGCAGGGGCTAGGGCTTGGGCTTTGTGACTTGCAGGCGCTTGACAACGACCTGGTTTGTGTCGAGGACTTTACGGGAGGCAAAGAGAAAGAAGAAAAACGAGAAGGGTCGCCTGACTTCACCACCTCTCTTGACTGGCACTTCCCCTCGCCCAACACCCGCCCTGCTGCTGTTGCTGGGAAGGATGGCACAGCCGCACCACAGATGGCAGCTTCGGGAGCTGCAGCAGCTGCTGCCCCGCCCACAGGGTCGCCCGTAGCGCGCAGTGCACCTGCTGCCGGCGGGGGCACATTTGCGGCTGTGGCTGCTTCTGCTGCCGCAGCGGACTCAGCAGCGGCAGCAGCAAGAGGTGCTGCGCAGGCAGCCAAACGGGCAGGTGACTCTTCCCCTTCAGCAGCAGCAGCAAAAGGCGGCTCTCCAGCACTCGTACCAACAGCGGCACAACGCCCAGATGAGGCTGCGGCTGCAGCAGCGCCAGCAGCTGCAGCAACAGGGGTAGCAGCAGGCTGCGATGCTTCTCCTTCCCATAGGCAACGTTCAGCTGCAGGAGAGTCCACCGAAGCAACAGCAGCAACAGCAGCAGCTGGTGCAGGGCACCCGCAGTCTGCAGCGGACAAGGTCTCTCACAAACCCCAGCAGCAGCGAGAGCAGCAGCAGCAGCGAGAGCAGCAGCAGCAGCAGCAAGAGCAACAGCAGCAAGTGCAGCAGCAGCAAGAACAGCTGGAATACGGGACGCGCTGCGTCTTTGGATTCCCGGAGGCTTCTCGTGGCAGTTTGCGGTCATCCCCTTTGCGGTTCACGGAGACAGCAGCAGCAGCAGCATTGGCAACGGGAGCAACAACGGCAGCAGCAACGGCAGCAGATCCACACAGCGCAGCAGGGCTGGGACGGTCTTGGGGCTTCAGAGCCTTCGCGTCCCAGCTGCTGTCGTGTCTGCAGCAGAACTCGAACGACACACCCAGTCCTGGTAGGCAGCCTGTCGACTTATTTTCCTGTGCTGTTCGTCGTGGGTGGCTGTAGCTGCTGCACCTGCTCGTTCCTGTTGCTGCTGCTGCAATTTTTCTTTTCGTTCCTTCATTTCTGTGTGTGCCAACAAACCCTTGCTTGCACTGCGGGCTTGGGTCCATCTTTTTTTCTGCTGTTGTTGCTGTGGGTTTTATGCTAATTGGGGCAGCTCTTGCTGCTGCTCTAATTGCTGCCACGGGGGATTCTCATGCGGTTATCGCTGCTTCTACTGGAAGTGCTGCTGCGGCTGCTGTTGCTGCTGTTTTCAGGTGTGGTTGCTGCTCTTGAAGCCTGGCCCCTCCACGGAGCGTCTCCTTTCCACCGTCGCGAGTCTCTGGATTTCTGTCTTGCTGCGACGCAGCAGCAGCAGCAGCAGCAGCAGCAGAATTTAGGGCTGCTCCTCAGCACCACGAGGCGCTGCATTTACCGGCTGTTTCATGTCTGCGGCTCGCGCACTAGCAGAAGCGGCAGATGCAGCAGCAGCAGCAGCAGCGACAGTGATGCCAACAACGGTGACGCCACTAGCAGCAGCAGCAGCTACGTAGGTCCGTTGCGTCTTTCGTTTAGCAAGGCCTCCGGTCGCCTGAGACTCCCGGCCTCTATACGGCTGCAGGCTGAAGCGGCTGCCGCTGCAACAGCAGCAGCGGCGGGGCTGCCAGCTGCTGCAGCAGCAGCCGCAGCAGCTGCAGCAGCAGAACTAAACGCAGGCACCCTGGCGATGCCTACCCCGCCTCGTGGCTGGCGGCAGCTGCTTCAGGTGGCAGCAGCAGCACTCTCTGGCGACGTGCTATACTGCAGCAAGCCGCAGGGGAGATCTGTCGATCTGCTGCTGCTGCCTGCTGCTGTGGAGGAGTTACAGCAGCAACAGCAGCAGCAGCAGCACCATGGCCTCCCGCCGCGCACAGCAGCAGCGGCTGCTGCTGCTCTTGGGCAGCTGTGGTCTTGCCTTAGTCAGCTGCTTGACTCAGGCTGCGGATGGCGCTGCTTAGCGCGGGCCGTCCCTAATGTGCCTACGGCTGTTGCTGCTGCTGTGTCAGCGGCAGCGGCACCAGCACCAGCTTCACTCTCAGGTGCGCCCCGTCGCAGCCAGATGCGTCACCCTTCCCGGCAGCCTTGCAGGTATGTGCCTTCTCTGCTTCCGGCTGCTGCGACGAGGCTGCTCGCTCCGCAGATGCAACCGCAACAGCAACAGCAACAACAACAAATGCTGTACGTGCAGCAGCAGCAGCTCCTGATGCAGCTGTATGGAGATCGTGGTGTCCCGGATGCGCGGGAAGAAAGCAGGTTCGTGCTTCAGCAACAGCAGCAGCAGAAGCAGCAGCAGCAGCTGGGCTACCTACCACGCATGCAACAGCAGCAGCAGGGGAGGCCGCTACGCATGCCGTCTGTAGATTCAGCATCTCAGCAGCAGCCGCAACCGATGCAAGGAGAGCCAGAGCAGCTACAACAGCTTCAGCAGCAGCAGCAACACCTGCAGCAGCAGCAACTGCAGCAGCAACAGCAGCAGCAGCAGCAACAGCAACTGCAGCAGCAGCCAATGCGGCCCCCAGTGTACGCCTACGCGCGTCAGGCGAGCCCAGCTAGCCGGCGGTCTTGGTCTGCTAGCCTGTGGGGCAACGCGGACACTCCAGTGCAACGTGCGGAGCAGCCACAGCTACCAGTAAGCCAGACTTCACTGCTGAATAGCTAGCTAGCTAGCTAACTTGCTGTGCTGACTAGCTAGCTAGCTAGCTGGCTTGACTGGCTAGCCGGCTGGAGGGTTGGGGATGGCGTAGAGTTAACACCAGAATAGCTAGAGCTGTCCTGCCTGCTGCTGCTGCGGTTTGGCCGCCTAGTGAGCGTCCGTGGGGTTGTTTCCTGTTTGTGCTGCTGCAGCAGGCGTCACAGTTTATGTTTTTGTTCGACTCTGAAAGCTGCGAGCCAGCAGCAGCTGCAGCGAACAACGAGGTGAGGGAGGAAGACCTCCGCGGCTTCCTCGACCTTTCCTTCTTGGCGGCGAGCACCCCAGTGGTATGCAGCAGCAACTCCCAACAGCAGCAACAGCAGCACCATGCAACAGCAGACCTATCGCCTGTACCCCCGCACGAACCGCAGCATCAGCAGAGACGACAGTCGCCCACGCGCAGACCCACCCCCCAGCAGCAGCAGCAGCAGCAGCAGGTCCTACGCCTTACAGATAGAGCGGCAGCAGCTGAGGCTCTTCAGCAGCAGCAGCAACACGGCGGCGTTTTGAACAGTCCCATAAGATTGCCACCTTTGCGGCAGCAGTCCGAAGTTGAAAACGAACTGCAGCAGCAGCAGCAGCAGCAGCAGCAGCAGCAGCAGCAGCAGCAGGGTACCCACATCAACGGCAAGTGGTGTCTATGCATGGAGGTTCCGCCGCCGCCGTCGGTCCCCGTTCCTTCTCCTCACTTGCTGCTGCTGCATCAACAGCAGCGCCAAGCAGCTGCGCTAGCGGAGCAGCAGCAAACGCAGCCGCCGCACCCCCACCACCCGCAGCAGCAGCAGCAAGGCATCCATCCCCATCTCGGGAGTTATGGTGTATCTCTCCCGTATTCCTCCTCTAACTGCTTCAGCAGCTGTGGCGATGTTATTTCTGGTGTTTCCGTTGGGCCTTCAGCGGCTGCTGCTGCAGCAGCAGCTGCTGCTGCTCAGCTGTACCCTCATATGAGCGGGCCGCTGCCCGCGGCGCTCCATGCAGCGGAGGGGGAGGCTCTCAGACCTTCAGCTAGCAGCAATCCCGCAGCGGCAGGTGCTGCTGCAGCAGCTGCTGCGGCCACAGCCTATACACAGACGCTGCAGGGAGCCCCCAGCAGCAGCACTAGCAACAGCAGACTGGCGCAGATGTACGTTGAGCAGCACAAACCAGCCTCCGTTGCTTCCCGCGGCGCTTCCGGTGCCGACTCTGCGCTTAGCAGCAGCAGCAGCAGCAGCAGCAGCAGCAGCAGCAGGAATTTAGCAGCAAATCCTCTCATAGGGGCAGCAGCGTATGACAGCGACCCCTTAGGGGATCCGCAGCACGCAGCTGCTGCCCGGCCTTGGAGCAGCGCACGTACAAACCAGCCGCCCTATGGCAGGCAGCAGTAGCGGCAGCAGCAGCAGCTGTGTTGCTGGCGCGAAGTGACTTGTTTGGGGGCTGTTTTCAGCCCCGGTTTTGGGCCTGGTGGAACTACTTTTATTTATCAGCATCGTAATTAGGATATAAGCCTTCCACAATTTTAACGGCAGTGATGTTATAGTTTAATGCTAGTTGCAATAGTGGCTGCACGTCATGCGTAATATCGACGCATCTACGCGTATCCAATGAGACGTACATATACCCCAAGCATCGACGAACTTACAGAGACGGAAGGATGAATTTGCTTGTCCTCTCCTTGCGGCTGTTCAAACACCCCCTCTAACTTCAGCATAGATGAGACATCGGAATGCATAGGACTCTAACTTGTACTGCAAAACTGGTTTCTGCTGCGTTGCAACCATTGCTGTTACAGCTACCTGCCAGTACGGCTGAAGGCTCCGCTGGCTTCGGATTCTGTTGTTGGCTTCGCCTCTGCACATAAGGAGCACTGCTCACCAACATGCACTTTTAATTTTTTCTGAAGAGGCCTAAGGTGGCTCACCGCAATCCCTATTCAGCTTTTGCTCGCCGCCACACAAGCGGCAATTCCTTCTTATTGTGCCGAAGTGTTACTCTTTGGGATGTTATACAGCTGGATTTGTTGGGTCTATCATATAATGTCTATAGTGTTAGGTTGGAGCAAGTGTATGTCCAAATGAGGCGTCCTTACGCCTCGTTTAAATGGCCCTCAAAGGATTTGAAAAGCTGCAGTCCTTGGTAAATGTACTCGGATTATTACCCATAGTTTTTTTCATGTACTCAACGTGTTTCATTTTGTCTTCTAAAGGACAGAAAACAACGACCCACTGCCACTGCTACTCAGTTCAGTGTACGTGCATCTTTTGCGGCTGCGGCCGTTGTCAAGACAAACCGAGCAGCAAAACTAAACTGAACAAGCATGCGTATTGATACACTTTTTGAATAAAAAGACACGACACAGATACACTAGTACATATACTATATATATGCAATTTAAATTAACATATATTTTCACGTATCCACATGAGGCGCTGCACTTGCTGCTACTCCGCCTCAGCCAAATGTGCACGCGCACCTCAAGCCGACGGCAGCCTCCCCATAGAGCGCTGAGGCGATCGCATCAGCACGCCGCTAGCTAGTGAGAACCTGCGCGCTCACACCTAGCTAGCTAGCTAGCTGCAACTGCTAGTCCAATCGCCGCATGTGGTCCCCAGCTACGTTGCTAACTAGCTAGCTAGCTAGCGAGCTAGCCAGGCTGCAGATCTGCAGATACCCGCGGCAAAGCGGAAGCTGATCAAGCCAGCAGCAGCTATAGCACCAAGCTAGCTGAATCAATAAGCGGGGCCAGCCGGTGTGGCCTTTTAGCTAGCTAGCTAGCCACAGTGACTGTGGGCTCTGGATTTGGGTAAGCCCGTGCCCCACAGGGTTCAGGTTTCTGAGACCAGGCTGTGACGCGCATCTGTCTGATAGATTTGAAGGAGAGCTGATGGAATTTTATCGGGGTCAAATAAATGCTGCATTCCCTCCGGTGTCTGTACACCTGCCAACTGGAAGTGATACCCTCCCTGCGCAGTCAACAAGTACGTTGTACCTACATGCCTGTCCATCAACATGTGTGTGAATTCAAAAGGTACAAATACAAATGCACGAATAAGTGAACCAGCAGAAAGATGAGCGTATGTATGTGTATATGCATGTACCGAGACATCTGTGAATTCGTGATTTCACGTTCACGTGCACAGGTGCATGTATGCACTGTAATTAGATTATATGCACTATACATGCATTACGCGCTTGTACATACTGAGGCAAGTACGCAAATGCAACGCACATACACTGTGCGTCGCACGTGCGTGCTTCATTCATACACTGCGTACGATGCAAGAGGATTGCACAGTGCGGATAACTATATGCAAGCGTCACACCGACACATATACCCAAAAATATGTATGTCTACATGTTTGCATGTGCACTTCGTTGCTCGCGCTTTTTGTGTACATATATGTATTGTATTGGGCAGGAACCGGGAGATGAGCAGAAGGGCATATTTACGCCGGTGCCGCGAATAGAAAAGCCACAAAAGCGCGAGCAACGAAGTGCACATGCAGACCGACTAAAACCGGAAAATCGGGCAGAAGAAAACAGAGAAACACAAATAAATGAAGAAGACGTACAGCGGGAAAGAGAAGGAGTGGCCTCCCAGAGGCTCAAACGCTCACAGCGACAGACGTAGCTACAGAGCAGGAAAGAGATGAAGCAACATGCAGGTACGAAGCAGAGGTGCCGCTGACAAAGAGCCGCGGGACCCCACAAGCGCCACACACTGTCAGCGCTGGGGAATGAGGCGGAGCCAAGGAGAGGCAGTGAGGCTTACAACGTAATAAATGAACATGTATTTGCTTCGCTTCTTCTCTTCGCACCCTGTGGGGTAAATACCCCCTGTGGAGTCGTCCATCACAACAATTCCCACGTCAAGAGCATCTTCCAGTGCGCAGATGTCTGCAGCTGAACACCACATGAAGTCACAAAATGCTGAATGTCAATTTGCTGTTTTCAAGTGCACTCAAGGCACTTGAATGCAAACGAAAAGCGGTGCGAAAACCAATGAAAAACCAGCAAAGGGGCGAAAATAAGAGGAAGAACTTGCCCACAGGCAGACGCACTGCAGCGAAACGGACAGAAAAGGCAAAAGCAGGTAGAAACAAATAAAGGCGAGGCTCACATGTTCCCCAGTGGTTGTTCCCGGGCAGCCGCAGCTCATAGTGGAGCGCCTTGGCCTTCCCAAGGGGCGTTGACACGTCGAAGCAATCCCCTGAAAGCGAAGAGCAAAATCGCAGGGAAACGAAGATCAAAGAGTCCAGCCGCAGACGATCCCAATATTGGCTCTGCACTATAACCGAAGAAAGATGCAGAAACGCGTGGGAAAAACACGAGTTACGGAAAGGAACAGCCACCCTAAATCAACAACAAACAATCTGGTAAACAACCAGCTACACACTCATCCCTAAGACCTCGAAATCTCACCCAGCAAACCCCCACCTCCCCTTGCCATCCCAGCCACCATAAAACCCCCTTTTCACCCATTTCACTCCACCCGGCAGCCCCCTACATGTCGCACCAACCCCACCCAATAACCACCTACCGACCCCACCAACCCCGCCCAAGAATCACCTGCCACCCCCACCCAATAACCACCTCCCCGCCCCAGCCCCCAGCGGCCACACTTTGACGCAGCAGAAATTGAGCAACGAAGAAATCTCACCTTGAGCCGTCACGTAGATATCTTTGTTGTGTAAAATCGACATGGGCGACCAGCTCTCTTCCCAGTCCCCGCCCTCTTCTATGGAGGCCAACACTGCCAGGCGCTCCATGAACTTTTCCTCCTCGCCCTCAGCAAACGCTGCACACCAGATTAAACGAAATATATATTCTGACCAATTCATTCCTTATGTGCAGCATCTACATGCACAATGTGTCTTAAGACTTGCAGATCCCGGTAGACAAAAAGAACATGCAGAAGAAACTGAATCAAAGTACTTGGCTTGGGGAGCGGACGAAAAAAAGCCATGAAAACGTTGAAACGGCTGAGTCGGGCACAAAATAAAAGAAAAGACGAAGAGGCAGCAAACCAGAAGAATGACAAGCAGCAAGCCTCCTTTAGAAGTACCTGCATTAGGGTCACATCCATCAATCCCTGCTGCTTTGTTTGCTGCTGCTCGTCTCAGCTCCTGAACGCCGTAGCTTCTGCCTCCGCTGCCGCTCAGCCCCAAAGCCACAGACAAAAACAAACAGTCCCCACCACCACCAGCATCCTGCAGCAGCAGCAGCAGCGAACGCAGCACCAGCAGCAACTGAGGCACGGAGAGCAGCAACACAAGCGGCAGCAATGGCAGCAGGAACGCATCGAAAAAAACCCCGTATTGTCAAAGCCCAGCAGACACAAACAAACAAAATAAACAAAAGGAGCATGGCATCCAGAATAAGCACGAACGGCAAGCAAACAGCAAACAAAAACGCAGAGCACAGCAAAAAAAAGTTCAACAATGAATCCCCCCAAACCTAGCTGTCTGTACAGCTCACGGCTCTCTTCATGGCAAGATTATATTTCTTGAGTCTTGCGCTCCACTTGGGGCCCAGAGGGATCCACTGTTTCCGCTGGCTGTAATTCATTATAGACTTAAGAGAGCAAGCAGCGTATACTCCACCCCTGTACATACACCCCAAGCCCGACCGTGCTGCATCCAAGCCATAAGAAGCGGCGCCATATATTAAACTCGGAAACGAGATGCTGCTGGGCAGCTGCTGCAGCGGGGGCTGCTGCTTCTGTTGTAGGCTCAGCAGCCGCTGCTGCTGCCCCTGCTGCTGCTGCTGCTGATGCGGCTGGGGGCGGCTGGCTGCACATTTGCTGATCCACTTAGCCTGTGCAGCCGCAACGCAGCCTTTGTTTTTAGTGGGGCAGCGAGCTGCTTCTACAGCTGCGCCCAAGGCCTGCAGCAAACATTCCCTTCGCCTTGACATAAGGTCAGCTGCTGCTGCATGCATATCTGCTGCTGCAGCTGCTGAGGCTGACGACGATCCGTCCGCGTTCAGACTCAAAGTACCTGTTGCCATCGCAGCAAGAGCAGCAGCAGCAGCTGCTGCTGCTGCTGCATTTGTTGCTGCTCGTGGCATGCTGTTGCTGTTGTCTTTGCCGTGACTAAAAATCGCCTCATCGACGGCAGAGCGGCCACTCAAGGGATCAGGGAAAACAGATGCAGCAGGGGTTGCTGCTGCAGCAGCAGCTGCTGCTGCAGCTGCGGCTGCTGAACGGGACACAGAGACAGCAGCGGCACAACGGAAGGCTCCTGGAGCAACGAGGCATGCCATAAGCCAGCAGCCTGCAGCAACGAAGCAGCGACGTGAGTTCTGCATTTTATATCGCCGTAGCAGCTGCTGCTGCTGCCGTTGCTGCTGTTGCCGTCGGTCTTGCCGCCGCTGAGAGTCTTTCCTGATCCACTGCACCCTCGTCAGTTCCTGGTGCTTCTCCGTTTTACAGGATAAAGCAGGTGTTTGGGTATCTGAGGGCCCATGCTGCCGCCGCTGTCATTCTCGCTGCTGCTGCTGATGGTCGCCGCTGGGGACTGCGGCCAGCTGTGGGCCTTATCTACAAAGTGGGAAATCTCCGCTGTTTCAAGGGACCATAATTCGGCGCAGTAGAAACAAGCAAACGTGCTGCTCTGTTGCTGCTGCTCTGCTACTGCTGCTGCGCTGCTGCTGCACGAGAGTCGGTAGAGATGCACAGGAGCCTGGGTGGCGCCTACGGGTATAAAAAGCAAAACCTGGTGACTAAACAGAAAACTATTCAAAGGGATAAACTACGGGTAATAATTATGGCGGCAAGACCAGCGGCTACAGCAGGTCTTGTACCATGGATCGAGCAGCATCTCGCATGCAGCAGCACTAGTTGCCGCAGCTGCCTCCATTTCGTCACAGTTACATCCCCCTTGTGAACATGAAATAAACATGAAATCTAAAAGGTTTTGTTTTTTTTAACCTTTTCATTCCCAAAAATCCCAATAGCCCGCACCTAATGCACGTTCCACCGAAGCCTCATCGGACGGCAGCAGCTGCAAGGGAAAAGGGAAAAATTAAACACCACCAATGGCTTTAGGAGAAGCAACAGCAGTAACATAAGCATAAGCTAATAGTGGCATCTGATCTTTAACACGAAGGGCAGGTTCGTTTGAATAGCCCGACCGCGGGCCAGGCGGCTAGAGCAACACCAGCTTTTACTGCGGCTACTACAACAGTAGCTTGTTGAAATCTGCAACTGAAGTGTACATACACCTCAATCCAGATGTTTCGTGTAGCTGCGTGGGCAGCTGGTCGCCACAAGCTCTTCTGCAGCCACACGCGCCCGTTGAAGAAGGCATTGGCACCGTATTCATGCCGCTCATATTCCGGTCGTTACCCGGCTGCTGTGCTTTCTAGCACAGCAGCAGAAGCTCCAGCATTAAGAGGCCAGGAAGCATCAGCTTTACACTGCTACAGCCCCAGAGCCAGCAGCAGCAGCGGCAGCAGCAACAGCAGCAGTGGCAACACGGGCACGAGCAACAGGGGCAGTGATAGCCGTGTAAGGTACGACGTAAATAGAAGCGTAACTATTAGGGTGAACAGTAGCAGAAGCAGCAGCAGCAGCAGCAGCTTTCGCATGGAGGAGGAATCTTTTGGTCCTTTTGCTCCTCGTTTTTTCTCCTGCACGGTCAGCAAAAACTGCAATCACTTCGCCACCAGCAGATCATACGTTGCCCAAAGCAGCAACGGCAGCAGCAGCTACTGCAGCGACAGTGGGAAAAGCACCGGCAACGACAGCAGCAGTAGCAGCCGCTCCAGCAACAGCAACAAGGGCAGCAGCTGGAGAAGCAGGCAAAGCAGCGATCGCGACACCAGCGACGACAACAACTGCAGTGAAGAGCAAAGCAGCAGCTCCGACAGCAGCACGAGCAGCAGTATTAGCAGCAATATGAGTCGAGTGATGAGCGAAGAAATATTTTTGGGGGCAAAGATTAGGCAGCAAAATCTGTGCAAGCGAGTCCCATTTAGGGTTCACCGTACAGGTGAGCAACAGCAACAGCAGCATCACGAGGAGCACCAGAGGCAGCCGCTGCTGCAGAAGCAGCAGCTGCTGCTGTCGCTGCAAGAGGAGTATTTTCACAAATTGTAGGATCCGCTGCTACAACAGCAGCAGTAGGCAAGGAGCTCCATATGGCTGTGTACTTGCGTATTTGCAGCCTCAGGAAACCTGCCTTTGTCTTTAGTTTGGTCCTGTAAAAGGAACACCGTCAAAACTGCAGTGCGAAAGATAAGCGGTGACAGAGAAGTACGCGGAGTGTACAGACAGGCGAACCTGGAAAAAGCCAATAAGCAGGCAAACGAATAAATACATGAATAAATAAATAGTAATAACAGATTCACAAGTACGGCCACGAATCGCCAAGTTTCCTCTCATCACTGTGCTCTGTGAAGGAGTCATGTATTGGGTAGGGAACTTGAATGATTATATTTGTTTGTTCTCTTTTCTTGCTGTAGATTTTCAAGAGGGAGGTCAGCTTTCTATGTGGTTGTCCTGTTTGGGAGGGAGAGAATTGCATTTATGTTCCGGGCAACAAAAAGGCTATTGTCAAACGAGTGCGCCAACGCCCAAAGCTCCTGTAACAGCCCGGCAGCAAAGGCAGCAATAGGAGCAGCGGCTGCAGGAGCAGCAGCAGGAACAGTAACATGAGCCTCAGCAGTAGCGTCTTTAGCAGCCAGAGCAGCAACCGTTGCTACTGTGGAGTTTTAACTATGATTTCCGATATCAGGAGGGTCACCAGTCTGCCCCACGCTACTGTTGCCGCTGCGCTTGCTGTTGCTGCTGATGCTTCTCGCAATGCTGCTGCTGCTGCTGCTGGGTGTTTGTTCGTCTGCAGTGGCTGGAAGAGCTTGGATTCTAGGACAGCAGAGGAGTTGTGCAGCGCCGCGCAGCTACGAAGCCCTGGTTAGGATGTTCGACATATTTAGCTGCAGCTAGCCACAAGTGTAGGTCGCCACCTAGGCAGGCAGTTGACTGGCCGTTCCCACCTACCGCTAGCCGTTGTCTCTCAGTAGATAGAATGACGGCTGTGTTTTTTTTCAGCGGTTTAAGCCGTACCAACCGTTCTCCTTGTATATATATCCTTTTCTTCTTCTTGTGTATTCGTGCATTTTTCGCCCAAGTCTTTGTTAGTTCAATTACCCATAAAGTGGAAAATATTCGATCTAGTTCATTAGCCTAACAATGCGGCGGCGAGGAACAATAAGCTACTTTCGTCCGGTTTCCCCTTCTGTCATGCCAGCTAGGCGCTGCAGCTTGTTACATCGAGCATAGGCAGTGGTGCACGTATGCATACATATACAATATATATATAAATATATATATGTACGCATACGTGCACCACATATATATATATATATGCTAATTTCGCATGTGTATTTCGGAATTTACATGTACCTCCATGGTTGTCTGCATGGTAATATGCGCACCTGCATATGTGCATATATAACGGTGTACGTGTGTACGCATGTATAATGCATTAAAGTCCGCACGAACAGCAGCACGAATATTTGAGAATTCAATACTTTAGCAGTTGAACTACATTGTCAGAAACATGGCATGCAAGCATCCATAGGAACATATGCAGCATTTCACAGACAGGTATATAGGCTTACAGTTCAGCACGCTGTTGCCTAGACGCGCCTTACCTAGTTGCATTGCCTACTTGTCGTGGCTAGCCTTAGCAGGTGTGAGTGAGTACATTAAGCCCGTGAAGATGGTTCCTCGCTGCAGCAGAGTCACGTCCTCGTCCGCTGCCATTGACCTCTGGCGGGGAGCGGTTCATCCACTTGAATCGAAAATTCATTTCATGTCAGCCTTTGGGCTGTTGAAGACAGCTGTAGCAGAAATGTATGAGCTGATAGGTCAAATCACAATTGGTCGGCGTTGGGCTGTACAGCAAGCAGCTTTGGGCTGATTGAAATCTATTTGCCTACAGAAAATGCTACTGCTGGCAATGGCGATGAATAGTGGCATTAGGACCTAACGGTGGGGCTTAAAATGGAGATATAGAGAGAATATCAGGGAGGAGGGTAATACTGTCAGTCGCTCTTCCCCCACCTCGAGTAGTTCAGTGATGCTCGAACAGCTACATTGCTGATGGCAGATTCCACGCTTTTGGAGCACTTCGTTAGGCGTTTCTAATAGGTTCAGTGAGGAAGTCTTGTGGAAGTTCTCTTCACGTTGGTTTTTCATTAGTGAGGGCACTGAAATGCAATGGTCTAAACGACATGGACCGAAATCAGCTCTTGGCATACTGCAAGGGAGCTGCAAAGAGCAAATAGCAAAAGCGGTATTCGAAACCACACTATCTGGTCTGTAAGAGTAACTAGAGCGTGCTTCAGTGCCTTCACTCTCGCCCTGGTCATCGTGACTGAATGGAAGGGAGCAACTATGAAGAGGCTCCTGCTTCCGTGGTTCATTCCCGCTCCGCATTTAAAAGAACAAAAAACGCAGCAATTGTGTACTTTTACATTGCACTTTTGGTTCAGGATTTCTATGTCGTGCAAACTCTATATTCATCCTCCCACGCGGCTTGAGTAGGCGGATTACACATGCGCGGGCCAAATACCGTGGAAGAGGTGAGCGTTCAATTAGAAAATTGGGATACATATCGCAAAAACTAAATAGAGAAAGTAGGACGAGCATGTGTTCATGAGGAGAGGAGGAAGCTGCTGCCACAGCCCCATTAGCTGAAATGATACTACTCAGCGACCTTTACTTGTCATTGGATTTTTGTGCATATTTCCCCTTTTGGAATTTTATAGCACTACAAGAACAGCACTTGGAACTTCTTTGTTGCGGCGAATATGTCTCGCGCTGTGTATGCCAAGATCTGGTCCTCCACGGCTCAATTCCAACAGCGGCGGCACTACGCCTGGTACCAAGTAGGGTACGTTTCTGGTCTTTTATCAGAGTATTACGCTTTAGAGTGTTGCGAACTTGGCATATGACGTTGGGGTCGATTCGTAGTTCCAGCATGAGACCTGGATAGCTGCGAACGAAGCCCACAACTGCTTACACTGCAGAGGCTCTACACGCTCGTGATTTACTTGCCTTTGCCCATAACTCACTAATTCTTGGCCGTTGTAAATGAGCTGTATGTCCAGTCAGAGCTGCATATGCTATATTACGGTCATAATCTATAAACACTCGGGCGGAGTTGAAAGTAACTGGAACTTCGCAGGGGAGGTGGAACGACGGGCTAGGAGAACAGAACGCCACAGATTAGCCTTTCGAAATTCTTATGACATTTTGAGATGCATTCATTTGTAGGAAAAGCGCTAGTAGAGCGTTTTAAAAGCCGTTTATCTCATGGTGTTTCGTGCCGTGTGTTTGTTCTTGTCCACGCTTCTACAGGTCGCGTCTTGGATTGTGGGCAATGCCAGCGGCTGCGTGGTTCTCGTGGCTGCTCTTTCCAGCTCTGCCTGAAGAATACAGAAGTGCAGTTACCTTTGGAATATGGAGGAAACCAGATGTGGGCACCCAGACGAAGGATTTCTAGGGAGGCAATGGATCAACAGCTAGCGTTCTAACTTGGTCTTTTTTTCTTCATACGCCTTTCTTCCTTCATGCGCACAGCAATAGAAGCACTGCCACGTCCATTTTTTCCCGCAGTCTTCGTCTCAACCATAACAACCCAGGCGGCGGCAGCAGTAGCTATTGCTGCTGTTGCCGTAGCAGCCGTGGAAGGAGACCCAATAGCAGGGGCGCGTCGCCTTGGCAGAAGTGGCAGCAGCAACTTTGTTAGTCTTTGAAAGGATGTATTTGTAGAGAAAAGTGGTGAAGGGCTCCGCGCCAGCAAACAAGGGGCGAAGGATCAACATAAAATGAAACTGTTGGCCACAGGTCTTCTCCTCCCTGTGCAGTGCAATCTCTCCGTCTTCTTTCTCATTATCTGCTTCGCTTTTTCTAATGCTTTTCGTCCGAACCGTTTCTGACTTCTGGGGAATGAGTGAGAGACGAAGAGAACAGCCCTGGGGCTACTGCTGTTTACGGTTCCCTCTATGCGAACGCATAAGAATTTTAAATGCGCAACAATTTTGTCGGCATTATGTGTACAATGTATATTTTCGTACATAGCCGTGTATATGGGTGTGAGCATAGTCGATATAAACGCATGCCGAAATACTCGTATTTGTGCGGATGTCCCAGATGTGCATCGAAGTGGGTGACGGTGCTTTTACCCACATTGCTCTTTCGTGCACATGGTATTGTTACGTTGCAGCCAAAGTCTAGAGAACAAATCAGACGATGCTGTCGAGTTAGTCTGCGCCAGACTTGTCTCTCATTGGGACGTGTATGCCCAAGTAGAAATATTTGCAAAGGAGTGCAATCACGTTCTGCTGAGTGTATGTGTGCATATGTAGATAGATGCAACACACATACGTCAGCATGGGCCGTGATGCTAGTATGAAACTCCTGCTGGCTGTAGTTATTTGCAGTGGGAAACACAAAACCACAAGAAGTTCTGGCTCCATGCAAATAATTAAAGCCAGCTGTTAACCTCATACATGCATGCACTCAGACGCAAGCAGCCTGCAAAGGCTTGCATTCCCAAAGCTTCGGAAGCACAGATATGCCTCGGAGGACATCATAGAGCCCTACGACCAATCAGAGATCCGGGCAGAGTAAAGGCATTACCACCTCTCCTGTGGTGTGCGGCACGGGAACCATATGGAAAAGAGGTGCTGCACTATAAACGATGAGCAGGCCTTAGTGCCCCTCCGCAACCTTAAACACAGAATTGTACACGTGTTTTTGTGCGGGAAGTCCTTCAACGTCAGGAGCACAAACTGATCCTTTTTCGTATTGGGATACGCATGCAAAAAAAATCGCGACTTGAGTCTCGCGTCGTTTGCTATAGGGGTAGCTCCAATAGCTCACGTGAGCATAGAAGCTACAAACAAGTTGCATCTACTCTAAGGCGAGACCGCACGATGTACAGTGCAGTACATATACGCGGTCTTGTCAGCAAAGCCGGGAATCAGCCCACAACACACTTCTGTGCCTTGGGCTTCGCTAGGTTAACGCCTTGCGACCATCGTAGCTGGCTCCATTCACACACACTGAGCGCCCGTCACGGTAAGTCT